CATACATATAGGTGTGCATGTGCATATACATGAAAATACAGTATACAGAGAGGTTCCCGGAAGCAATACCCTGGGAAGTGTGGCTACTTGCAAGCCAACCACTCAGCTCATGCAGCAAAGCTTGCGATCTAGGAGTGATCTAAACTCTTTGAACTGTCTTGGGCACCAGTAGCTCTGGTGGGGATGTTGCACCCAGCCTAGACGAAATAAAGTTGGGCCGAGACAGAGTTCCAGAATCAGCCGGACACGGTGCCTTTTGCAAAGTTAGGATTGAGCTGATCAAATGCGATGCGTCAACCGTCAACTGTGATAAAACACCGATAAAAGAGTGCTCCAAAAGGGCCCAGCTTATGACCAGTGCCAAACTAAACCAACTAAAACAATCCCAACCTCATGCTTGGGGTCGGACAGCTCCAAGCCGTTCAGTCTGAAAAGCCCACGATTTCGTTGAACCTGCCACACACACACACATACATCAAGAATGGATAGGTCGCTTCGCTTTCTTGAAAAACACGTGGATTCACAGCAATCTTGGGAGAGGGAATGCAACGCAGAAAGTGCATCCTGCCCATGGTGCATCATAGGGAACTCCCATGAGCCACGCACCACAAGCCTGGAAACAAGTGAAAGCTCAAGCCTCGCTCTCTGGCTCAATAGCGGCTTGAAGCACTAGAAAACGTGGCAGACCAAGTAATTCCGACATTCACCAAACCATGAAAACTCATGAAACGCATTGAACAGATTGAGGCAAGAACCCACCACGCGCATTCAGCACTGAGCATCCCTGCCAACTCTCTGGCTGATTGTGCACCTGCAGAACATGGAAGTGAGTGTGAGGGAAATATCCCGCTGTCCGACGACTAGGTCCTGTGCTTCAACTGAGAATCTCACCTCCAAGCGCAGCTGCACCTCGCCCTTTCCACCCATTGCACCCAGCGGCCTGGTCAGGTCGGGCTGCTTGGAAAAGCAGATGATGCGTGCTTAGTCAAATCCTAAGGATTGGGCAGCCAAGCACGTCCCCACATTGGGCACATCGCGGACCTCAAAAGTTTCGATTCTGAATGGTCAAAGTCACAGTCACAGTCCTTCGGGCTTCAGGCACGAAGGGCTCTCGCAGTGTGAGCATGATCTGAACGTCGGCAGTGCTTGGCCTTGAAGCACCAGCTACACTAGGTCTACCGCGCTTGCACATATCATATCACAACTTGAACAGAAAGTAGCAACGCTCCTATTTACTTGAGCCAAAAGTAACAAGGGTACCACTCATGTTTATGAGGGTCTAGAACTCAAATCACCCCACCTGGACACGAGGTGACTTAAGCTTGTGTCCACTTTGAGAACACTTTTGCTCACTGTACAGACAATCACGTGACAGCTTTCGCTATCGAAGATCGTCCTGAAAGTGCCTCAAAACCCATTGCCTTTAAATGGCGTTCTACTGCCTCACTAGCTAGTGCCTTTGTACAAGTGTCAGCAGTATTCAACTTCGTGTCGATATTGAACCGTTCGAATACCTTTTCTGCCAACTTTTCTTGAATCCAAAGAAATCGAGTCTGGACGTGTTTCGACTTTCCGAGTCCAAGTCGGTTGCATGTTCCAAGTGCTGCTGACCAGTCGGTGTAGACGTGGAGCTTTGTGTTGATGCCCCAACTCCTGAACAACTCCTGGGTTGCCATGCCAGAAGCTACAGCTTTCACCAACGCGCAAAATTCGCTCTCACCTGAAGACAAGCTAACCGTGGACTGGAGGCTGCTCGAGTGGCGAAGTGAATGTCGCTCATAGTAGCACACCAGGCCCGTTGTACTCTTGCGAGTCAAGAGACAGCCGGCAAAATCGGAGTCTGCATGAACTGAAACGACATCGCTGAACTTTTGCGGAGTGAACTTTTGTACCACGCGCATTGTTCCTTTCAAATATCTGGCAAGACGCTTGAGGTCTCCGAAATCAGCTTCGGTCGGACCTTGCGTTTTCCTTGCCAAACACTTGACCGTCTCCGACAAATCAGGGCGGTCCTGAGCTAGGAACGCTGCACGCATTGTGAGAGAACGGTATTGGCTGATCCGGTGAGGATCAACAACATCAAGTTCCATCCTCTTCGCCAATGCCTCTGCTGTCAACTTTTCGTTTGGGCTCTTCACTGGTTTGCAAGTTTGCATGTTGAGGTCCTTCAGCAAGATCTCTGCATGGCGTGGATCTGGCTCGTAGAAGATGGCCCCTGACCTCTCGTCGAAGCATACGAGACGGTTCAGGATGCTAAGCAGGAGCAAAGCTCCTGCTTAGCTTCTCCAACACCTATACTTCCGTCAACACGAAGATCGTACGCTTCTCTTAATGCCTTTTCGACATGTTGCTGCGCTGCATCGTCGCCCAAGATGACAAAGTCGTCACCATGGACTAACAGCCTTCCTTGCCTCCAGCTTCTCGTGAAAGAAGATGGCTGGCCAAGCAGCAGATCTCTTGAATCCGGCTCGATTCAAAACATCAGTGTAGGATTGCTGCCAAATGTTGGCTGCATCGCGCGTGCCATACATGCTCTTCAACAACAGTCCTACCTTGCCTTCTTCTTGATCACCTTCGGGGAGGGTGACAAAAACTTCACGCTGTGCTTGACCGTAAAAATGGGCTCTGCTGATGTCAATCAGCCGAACCTTCAACGGCTTGCGGTTACGCTTGAAACCTTCAGCGTGACCATCAAAGAAAGCAAAACCTTCAAGGCTTCCAGAGGTGGCATTGCACTAAAGCTTGCGTACTCTGGAATATACTCTGTATTGTGGGCTCTTTTGATCTCACGACAAACAAGGAGAGATCTATAGTTGGGTCTTTCGTTGTCGCCTTTGTTGCGATCAACCCACTTCATTGTAATTGGAACTTTTCCAACTTTTCGAGCATCTTCTGCATCCACCTTCTTGTAGATGCACTGGCGTTGAACCCAGTCCAACTCCTCCTTCCTAGCGGCGGCCACTTTCTCCAAGTCCAACTCTGCACCAGTATTGGTGTCGTAGACTGGTCCGGTGACTGTCACGTCAGCGGAAGGAAGATGGTCAAAGACCTCTTGCTCTTCATCTATGACTGGAGCGGCATCTGGTACCGGTCCAGCACCCAGCGAGTTCAAAGCTTGGCTGAACTCACCATCTTCAGCAAGTTGGTTTCTCTACGCTTCAAGAATCCCTCGAACCAACAGTGGCGGGTAGACCTGCGCCGATCTCGACCGTTGATGAGGTTGACGTGTCGGTGCCAAGTCTTGTGTTGGCTATTGGAGCATACGCCAGATAGCGTCCTCGCCAAGAGTTGGTCAGCCACCTGGTTTCTTTCTTCACTAGGTGCCCCACACGTCTTCTGATTCCATTTTCCACCTACACATAGGCCCAACAACTTCGTAAACACGTGGATCGTTTCGAAGTTCTTTTCTTCCCAGCTGCGTGCTCCTTTCGGATGCTCATGCAAAATGTAGCGGCCTGCGTCCATCTGTGCACGATAGGCGCGCACTGAAGTTCGCAGATGTTTCTTTCCTTCTTGCAACCTTTGTGACCTGACCGACTGAGGAACATGATTCCGAATGTCGACCAAGTTCTGGAGCTGTGAGAATGGTCCACAAGGAGGCGAACCACCTAAAAGCTTGGGTTTCTCTTTCTCAAGCAGTGAAAACAAATCCTCAATGTGTGAATCTTTGCTCAAATCCCAATGACTTCCGTCTTCTCGCTTGGTCTCAAGGTCGATTGCAAATCCAGGGCGCAATCCAACCAATTGGGCTTGTGCTGAAACTCTTATTGGCGGTGAAAAGATCTCTGAAACAGTCTTCTGTACGCTGCCCCTTTTGCGGGCTTCTCTCAAAACAGAACAAAGACAAACTGAAAGATGTCAAAGCTCCATGGTGCCGCTGCCTCCAGATGAAACGTCTGGAGCTGCGACTGGAACTCTTGGTGGCTGAGGATCTGTGCTCCCAGCCGATGGAAGTGGTCTCATTACCACTGCCCCATCATCATCTACAACTGCGCCTGCAGTTGCTTCATCCTGCGCCTGATGATGCAGCTCCTCAATGTCTGCTTCCGAACTTCGCTTTGTCCGCTGTCCGCCGGACTTCTGCTTCTTCTTTGGGCTTCCGGGATCTTCTCCTCGGTCTTCGAGCTCGCGACGTGCAACTCGTTCAAGTGGTTCTCCAACAGCTTCTCCCGAGGCCATTTCGGCATCAGGCTCTGGAACACCTACCAACGCGGGAACGCTGGCAGCTTCCACAACCTCTGGCTCGCCAGCCCCACCTCCAACTCTTGGAGCCTTAGGGCGTCGCCCGGCATCAATCCGAGCTTTTGCAGCTTCAATCCTCTGCTTTCCTTCTTCGCTCTTCATGAGCTCGCTCTCAATCCTAAACCTGCACCCTGGGTTATGGGCTCTACGACCCGTTCCCATCAACTGTGCCTCACAACCTGGACACAGTGGGGTGTATCCGAACTTGTTGATGTCGCTCTTCGTCACATAGAGATTCCTTGGAATCACCTCCTCAACTGGCAACTGGTGGCCTTGTCATTGGCCCTGCAACGACTGGCAGGTCAACTCGAACCTCGCCAGGCTCACGAGCCTGGAGTCTCCAGGGAACTCCCCGGAGTTCACTCCAGTCCTCGTACTTGAACTGATCTTCGGGAGGTCTTCGAGCGATAGTGTTACCTTTCACTATTATTCCCCTCGCGGTCATGACGAAGACGTCGTTGTTGCGCAACCCTGTGCCAACATACATCCCCATTGAAACTCTTGGTGCAAGATCATGTCGTCGACCATCACGAAGTGGCCTTGGCTTGAACAGGATGTGTTCGCCGAAGCTCACTAAAGGAGTCCTCCACTTCTTTCCGAAGGTTCTTTCATAGGGAGCCTTCCCATCTGGCCCAATGCGAAACCGGATCAGAAGATATGCGGCATGCCGTGGCAGCCACATCATGACTTGGCTCAACCTCGAACCCAAGTCGTTCCTGCAGGTCAGATAAGATGGCCCTCACCTGACGCTTGAGCTCCCGTACACCGACCTCGATGTACCCGTTTGCTTGATGATCTTCCACTGGTGCTTCAACCATGTGAATCTTCAGCTTATTTTCCTCCTTCACTTTGCCTTTCAGAGCAAGGATGGCCGGCTCGTTGTCACTCTTCAAAACAAGCTCATTGAAACCTGTCTCATTGAGGCAAGCCTTCAACCAAAATACAGAAAACAAGTCTGCCCCTTTCGATGGAACCACGTTCGCCCAATAACGACCCGTCTTGTGACACTTCACGGTCAAGCACGGCAAAATGCCGTCGCTCTCCGAGTCGCTTCTCTTTTCCTGCCCTGCGTTCATGTAGCAGTAGTCGAGTGAAACGTGCGGAATCCTACCCTCTTCGCCCCGAGCTGCAAGTCCACGCGGATGTCGCGGACCCGTTACGCAGGCCCTTTGGCAGTGGATGCACCAGCTCCGGTGAACGACATGCCCAGCAGCACGATGTTCCTGTACCTCTTGAGCCGTAGGATCCGCCGGTGATCGCTTTACAATCACCTGCGCTTGCTCCTCTCCAACCTCTTCTCCCGATTCCTCATCGGGTGCCCCGGCCGACGCGGCTGGAGCATCCTCCAATGGTTGGAGCTCCGGACTTACACCCGAGTGGGAGGCCCGCCAAAAGAGTCGTCGGAGCCTTCCTTCGATCCGGGCGCAATCCAAAAGTCCATGAGGTAGATCCCATTGTGCATTCGCACCGGAGTCATTCCCTCATGCTTCTTGTAGAGCTTGTCCATGAAGGCTGAATACTCCTTTCCAGCCTTGGAGTCCTTCGGGATCAACAATCCGCCACGGGCTCCGAGCGGAATGTGGTGGCGCTTTGCCACCTTCGCTCCCGAGGCCAGGGTGCGGTGAACGCCTGTGACCCGGCCTTCCAAAATCTTCGAGCTCCCATTGGCGTCCGTCCCACGAAGGACAACTCTGCCTTCATCCGCCAGCGACTCAGCCGACGCGGTCTTGTAGCTGATGTCCTGCGGCGGCGTCTTGGCATGTCCCTATTAATATTGAGGTCTGAAGGGATGGCGGTGGCTGCAGCTCCCGTGTCCAAGTTCACCACGATCCGCTTCCAGCCATCGCGCTCCTCAACGACATGCGGCTCTCCGAACGACGCGTTCGGCGTTCGGAGGTGCCGAGAACGAATTGAGCCCGGAATCCGATCGCTCTTCATCCGTCTCATTCGGCTCTGAACCCGAATCATGAACTTCGGGCGCCTCCTCCTCTGCGTCCTCCTGCCAGTTGTTGTACTGGTCATCCCAGCTGTGGCGTCGCTGCCGCGTGCGCTCGGCCTCATGCTTGGCCTGACGCTTCCGCTCCTTGCGTGCCTCACGCTTGCGCTTGTAGTAGTCCTTTCCGCGGATGCGGGGCTCAGCTGCTTTGCGGGTCGCTGGCCGCTCAAGCACTGCCTTCTCGTCATCCGGGAACTGCTGGAAGGATTCGCGTTCCTTCCGGCTCAAAGGCACGGCTTCATCTCGACGCTCGATCGGTTTCGACTTGTCCTTGCGATCGTCCACAACCTCGGTATCCACATCGGCATTGAGATCGAGATCCTTGCGCTTCTTGCCAGTTCCTGGCGCGTTATGCTTGGAGTGCCACTTGTCGTCAAGTTCAAGCTTCTCTGACACTCGATCCGCCAAGCCGCTTCGCCGGTCCAAGGTCGCCCGACGGCGGCCTTTCTCGTTCTTCCAGGCGATGTGATGCGGCTTGCCAGCCGCCACATCAGCATAGTACCTGGAGTCGTGAAAGCTCTGGTCGTCACGTTGTCCTCGGTGATCTTGATCGACTGGCGAGGCATGTCACGCTGGAGCTCCTTCTTCTGCTTCTCCAGCTCGGCCTTCTTGTCCGGGTCCTCCTCAGTCTCGATCTCTGAGGAGAGGTTCGATGCAAGCGCGGGTCGAAGCATCCCCAATGCACCGCTGGTGAATCCGGAGTTCGCCGGCTTTGAATCCGACTTCGAATCGGGGGCCTTTGGCTTGGCCTTCACCTTCGATGGCATTGCCTTCACCTTAGGCTTCTTCTCCTTCTTCTCAGACTCTTCGCGCTCGCGTTTATTCGCTTCGCGCTCTTCCGGGGATTCCATCGCCTTCACCCCGGGAGGATATGCCCGCTCACGCGGGCGGCGCTTGTCTGGCTTCTTCGGAGAGGTTCCTTCCGAAGCCTTCTGAGGAACTCCTTCCGAAGCGGTCGGAGTTTCCTCGCTCCTCGTGGCCTTCTCTTTGAGGAAGACGCCAACACTCCCTTTTGGCGTACGTTCCGGCTTCGTGGAACGTGCTTGCCTCGGCGGTGCCGACTTAGGCTTTGTGGTCTCATCCGCAAGCTTGAGGAATTCCTTCCTGCTCTCAGTCGTGCTTGCGCTGCGCTCGCGACGCCTACTCTTGGTTCTCGCGGATGATGCGCTCTTCCTCCTCGTCAGTGGATTCGCGCTTGACCTTCTTCTTGGGTGAACGTCCGCGCTTCGGCGATCGCGAACGCTCCTTGGGAGGATCCCGCGAATCATGCTCACGGGTCTCCTTCCCTTCCTGGCGCTTGAGCTGATCACGCAGCTTGTAGTTCTCTTCGATCAGCCGCATCATCACGTCGACCGACTGATCCCCAGAGGATCCAGCTCCGGAGTCAGCAAGTGAGGACCTGCCTTGGCCTTCAACCAGCATGCGATTGAAATCTTCAGCCGTGAATCGCTTCATGGCAGTCGCAAGGTCCATGTCGAGGTGAACCCTGTCGTAGGAAGGCTTCTTTTGAGCGTCCTTCGACTCTTCTTTCTTTGCAGCTGGCTCACGCTTGCTGCCCATATTGGATCGGGTGCGATGGAGTGCTCCCAACACCAACCGGGTCTTCGGTCCAGTCGCCGTACCAACCCGAGTCCCCTTCGTCCCAACCGGCGGCGTCCCACGATCCAGCCTGCTCCTCACCTTCTGGTTCCTTCTCAGCCTCGACACTTCCTATGGCTTTTCCTCCTTTGCCCTTTCCTTTTCCACTTCCTTTCTTTCCTCCTTTCTTGCCTCCTCCTTTGCTTCCTCCTTTACCTTTCGGGGAGCCTTTTGGGCCTTTTGGTCCGGAGGGCGGGCCTTCGGTCCTTTACCTTTTGAAGTCCCTTTGGAGTTCGCTTCACCTCCGCCGGGAGCCCAACACTCGGATTTGAAGTGTCCGAGCTTACCACAGTTGTGGCATGTGGCATTCTTCTTCTTGTCTCCGCCTGCAAGTGCACCTATGTCCATGGGCTGTGGCCCATTGTAATCCGAACTGGAATGACCGCCACCGGACTTGAGCTTCAGTCCAATGCCCGTCTCCAAATACGTGGAGAGTTCCTTCCGGACTTCAAGATAGTCTGCAAAGCGTGCTTGGTTGAGTTGAAGATGTCGTTCAACCTCAACCGGACAAATAGACTCCAAGATGGAGATCTTAATGTCCTCATCCAAAGTCGGTCTCGAGCCATCAGGCTTTCGCCGATTCTCATATTGTCGAACCTGGTCTTCCCAGCTTTCGACAGCTGCGCTCAACTCCTCAACCCTGTTGCAGCGGTTCGGATTCAACACCAAACGAAGCAGTGCCCTCCGACGACCTCCAGTCGAAGGATCGAACCGCTTGCACAGTCGCCTCCAAGCTTCTAAGCCTTTACCTTTACCTGCGCTTCTCACGAGCGTGAATGTCTCTTTCTCGCAAAGGGTTTGGAGAACAGCGTAAAGTTGTGCATCTTTTGATTCCAGGTCTGGTATTGTCTCCTGTTCCGGAGTTTCCTCACCAAACTCGGTCTTCATGGATGCGTTGCTGATTGGATCTGTTTCGTCTTCTGCCCAAGCCATCGCTTGGCCGAAGTCACCATGAACGGACTCAACAAAAGCTTCCAACCGGATCTTCCATTGGAGGAAGTCCGAGTTACCATCAAAGTTGCTTGGCTTTGCCAAACCGCGGTTGTCCACCAGAGTCAACTTCTTATCTGGCTTCTTGGACGCTTCCAGGATGGCCTTCTGCGTGTTGACCATCTCCTGCAAAGCTGCCTGCATAGCCCCTGTACTCTGAGCCGCTTGAAGTCTATTGTTCAAGTCCTCTTCTCTCCTTCGACTCTCAGTCAACCCATTCCTCAAGGTCACCAGCTGGGCCGCGATCTGCTCGAGGTGATCAGCTGCTCCCGGTCGAGTCAACCGAGAATTCAACAGCCGTTGCCTGAATGCCTGGCTGGCAATCAGGTCTTGGAGATGATGCCCCAGGTATCCGAAGATGCGTTGAAGCCTCCGAATCCTGAACAGCCGATTAATCAACCGGCGCCACAACCTCAGTACCCTCACAGCAGCCTGATCCCTTCGCTGGCACAAACGAGTCCGAAGGGTTTCCCAAAGGGTGAACATCTACCGGAGTCGCACCGAGCGCTCCGCTACCATGAACAGAAAGTAGCAACGCTCCTATTTACTTGAGCCAAAAGTAACAAGGGTACCACTCATGTTTATGAGGGTCTAGAACTCAAATCACAACTTGTCCAAGCTTCATATCTTCAGAGCAAAGACGAAAAAATAGACCTCCAAATCCAAGCTGCTGATGACCAACCAACTGCACTGGCACCTCCTGCACCTCGAACCTGAAGGACTAAAACTGCTCGCGCTGCCCAATAGCTGAAAGAAGACAGAAAGGACACTATGGACAGCGTACGGCCTAATAAGTCATTCGCTCTCATTCTACCATTCCTCATTGAACAGTTTGATACACTTCCAGAGCCTGAGCAGCTGGCGGCCCTCAGTTGTCAGGGGTGCAAAAATGTTCGGCAACTTCCAACTGTCAAGAACAAATTGGTGCACGGTACGGTGCGAACTCTCCAATGTTCCATTAGCTTCAATGGGCTTGCTTGAGTTGTTTCTGCATACACTCACTCAATCGCACCAAGCTTGGACCTCCTCAAGCACTGCCGAACTTGCGGACCACTCCTCGACAAATCTGCGATTCTTTGACATTCAACTTCTCGAAGCAAATCACTGGACTGTCTGTATAACAATGACTGGAAATCAGGAACTTCGTGCTGCTAACTGACGCTTTGCGTGCCACCGCTGGGTCATGGCTCAGAAAATGCCACAAGAAACAAGGATCCCAACAAGCTCCTGCACCTGCCAGCGGTGAAAGCACGTTGCCTGCACCAACACTTTGCAACAAGCGAGAGGAAAGGTTGAGAGCATTCACCACGGTGTGCAACTGCAAACTCAAAACAAATGAGGGCACGCTCTGAGCCTTACAAACTATCCACGAAACATTCGGAGGTGCCTCAAGCTGCCAGTGACAATCTTGACGTCGGAGCAGGCATCTGCATAAAACCAGGCAATCAGGTAACCAGCCAATTGGCCTTGAAATGATGGCCATGTCCCAACGACAACAATTATTGTGTTGCAAAATGACAATTAGTGAGCATAAGTTTGCTAAACAAAAGCTCCTCGCATTCGGGTATGATATGAGACTTCTAACTTCTATCTGCTAGCCACTCGCCGGCCCTTCTAATCTGACAAGCCGTCTCACAGTCTCGCAGAGATACGGCGTTGCCTATGCGCAGCAGCCAAGGACGCACTTAAGTGCAACTCGCCACCTTAGCCAAATCAAAATGTGGATGGCTGAATTGCAGATCGGTTTGACCGTAAGCGCTTCGTGCATTTCCTTGGTACAGTCAGAGATTCAGGTGCTTTATCTGTTGAAACAGCTAAGCCCACAATGGCACCGAATGTACGAACACCTGCACTCCATCAAGGAAGCTTGACAAAGTCAAGCCTCAAAGGGCAGGATTCTCCACCTCACAATCCTGAACGGAACTGAAGAATGATTTCGTCTGTAGATGACTCTTCGCTTAGAGACTATTTCAAAAGTCTCGTGTAGTCTCAGCCCTATCCCTTCTCTACTAGTTACTAGTTCTCGTACACCTGTCAGAATAACACTGGGAATGAATGCCCAAGCTTTACGCAAATATACAGTAACTCTTGTTTTATCGGTTGTTGCTGGAGACCATCATGTTTGTCAGTCCTTTCCGCAGATTTGTGAATCGGCCCCCCAAGCTGCAGACACTCAGCTTCGATCGGATAAAGCCAATCAGCACTGCACAGCAACTTTGGACCATCCTGCAGGTTTTGAGTGCGGGCTGCAAGAACTTGATGTCTGACAATTGAGATTTCCTGAAATGCCTCGAAGGAATCCACAAAATCAGCAAAAACAATTGTCCTCTCCCTCGCCGCTTCTCAACACCTGAAATGGACTTGTGTGCCATAATGAACTTGCGACATAGTCTGTGCTAAATTAGTACTCTCTGTGCATTATATATCCAGTTGGTGCGTGTGGCATGCGTAAAATGCAAGCAGTTTGCCCTTTTGCGACAATTTTTGAGCAAACGATGTTACGGCCAACTTCTGGTAGTTCAGAATACTCGACTTGAGCCCCTGGGTGGGTGTAAGAGCACCGGCTTCACAATGCAAAGGCCACGAACGCAAAACGTCATTCACTGTTTCCACTGCCCAATGTCCATCCTGAATTCTGGGCCACTTGCCAGCGCAATTGCGGCAGTGTTGAACTTGGGAAGCCAAGATCGAAAGACCTGCCACCCTCACAATCTCTGACACTCTTGGTGAGCCCTGCACCCTAAAGGCGACTGAATGTCCCACAAATGCCAAAAGTCACACGTTCTGACCTGGTACATTTGTGGTTTTTGACTTCATAGCATAGTGGGTTGTACAGCAGGCGCCGCACCAGTCAGCTTTGGCTCCACTATCCTGCCTGCCTGGTCACCACTCGAGGGCCTCAGGCTCAGCTCCATCTCTTTGTCTAAGCCTTAGGAAGTGATAGGTTCCCCTGATTACCAGGTATGGCAAGCAGCACAAGAAAGGATCCCCAACAATCTCTGTTGGCCAACTACTTCTGATCACTGCTCCTGAGGATTGGACCAATTGCCATCTTCTTGGATGCCTCCAATGCCACCCGCCGGGCTGAAGCTCCCAAGCTGGCCTGCTTGGCGCAAACTAGGACCACCTTTTGCCTTGACTGGGGCCATCTTTAGATTGTATCTGTGCGACTCTGCTTTCCAAAGACAAACGAAAGGGCATCGCCATCTGCATCTTCATATCATTTCGCTCGAGCAAGCTATCTGAGTCTCTCGCAGACAGTGGGACATCCTTGAAGCATCCTCCCGCGCGGCCCAAGGCAAGAAGCTGCTCCTGGCAACTCGGCGAGTGGGTTCAACCACCAACCATGCCCGCTCGGGCGAATCGCTTGGACTCCGTAAGAATCAGCTTCCTGAATGTCCCCAGCACGTGCCACCAAGTGGTCTGTCCTCATCCTCCTTGGGCAGCTTCAGCGGAGCCAGCTGCCCTCCAAAGTATGCCTGAGGCAGGTGGCTCAACACAACGCAAGCCGGTAGCAATGCTCTTGCAAAGGGGACTCCAACAGACTAAGCATCTGAACTCAAAATGGTCCATCATTTGAAATCAATTGTGTAGTCCACGAGGACGGTTTGAAGTGTTTTCCAGCCACACTCTACCTGGCAAAGCTTCTGCACGAGCTCAGCACAGTGAGGTAGGCCTGGTTGCTGGACGCAGGGGGGGTCCGGCCGACAGAGACTCCAAAGCGCACTGTTGGCCCTTGCTGAGTTTCTGTTTGGCCCATGATTTCATCACTTTTGCCCATGGACACCTCCATGACGGAGGTATACAGTAGCCGTTTCTAATTGTTTTTGCCTATCTGACTGTCCTCACGCAAATTTTGCTTCAATTGTCCGAGGGGAATTTGGAAAAACCACGTCTGGCATGTAACCCAAGCGCTCAGTATCTGACAGGACAGTGAATCTCGAGATTCCGCTAGACCTCAAGACGAAGACCAAGTTTCAGCGAACATCTTCTGAGAATCTGTTCCGGAAGATCATCATCCATCAGCAGAGAGGTTCTTGGAGGGTTGACTAGCCTGGACCCATCTGACAACCTGAAATATAATGCAGGATGGGCTGAACCAGGCAAGCACGCGAACCGCGTGGAAATTGACACGGTGTGCGGTTTCAACTTTCAACCGCCGGGGGAAGTTGTGTTTGATAAACCTTAGTTACTTGGTTGGGATCCGATCGTCCAAGTCCATACCTATACCTCATTCTTCGACAGTGTTTTGACTGTGTCTGAAGTCTTTCAAGGAGACATCTTGCCCAGGGCAATGCATCTACCAAGTCAAGTCCTTGCGGATGATAAGCTCTGCACGTTGGAGCTGTGCCAGTTCTTGCTCGTTCATCCTGGTAAGGAAAGCCAGTCCCGACTGTTGCCCATACCAGTAGAAAGGACCACAGTACTGTAACGGGTCAGTAGGCATCATCATGTTATGTCCCCTATCTACCTAGTTGCAAAACGCAGTAACTCTCAATAGTTGCTGCTGCTGTCATGGTCTGCGGGAGTCCAAACTGCTCGATGACAAGCAAACTTAAGACTTAGGAATTGAAATGCTCTCGAACGCTCGAAGCCTCAACGGGTATTGACAAACAGAATGTTCGTACGTCACGAGGTTCAGAAGAACGGCTGCCTTGACTGAGCCAGGAAACCCAAGCTAAAAAATCACTTCGTGGCACAATGATGGCGCTCGTATACAGCCCGAGTGGCTGGCTGAGAGGCTTTCATCTACCTGAGCGATAGTGGTACCAGTAATCTTACTGTTTATTGTGGACTCACCCAGTGCTTTGATGCTTTGGAAGCAACATGAGGCAGGGCTGCTCCGGCGGAAAGAAGGTCAAGCCTTGGGTAGTCGCTGTAGGAGGCGTCTCTGGAACTCGGACCTTGGCTCGACCCCTCGACGGCCGGATCAATCGGTCAATCAGCAGAACTTCAATGAACTGAACAAACACCTTTCGGACATGAGGGCCCACGCGGCAATGCCCGCAACCCTACCTGCAAGCTTGGCTGGCTTCCACCCCCGTTTTCACTGGTGCTGCACTGGTGACATGCGTACCGCTGCATACCTGTGTACAAAGTTCATGGAGTATGACACATTATGAGTTTGGAAGTGACCTTCGAACTAAGCACCATGAAAGGGAGCCACCGGTCGTCATGTCGTAACATATCTTGCCAATTTGACTTCCTCCGCCTGAGGCCAAACCACTCTCTAGTTGATTTCCAAGTGAAGAAACAATGGTCTGACTCTGAGTTCGTCCCGGCACCACCACAAACACGACCTTTTATACTGCGTCGCACCTCAATTCAGCGATTCTGAGCAGTATCGAGGTGGAAACAGCTGTGGCTCCAAAGCACTCACAGTGGGAGTGATGAGAAAGTAGTTTTCCATAATCTCTGGCCCAGCTTCCACCTTCATTTCGGAACTGCTCCATCCGGCTTTTTAACAATATATTTTATCGAGGAGCCATATATATATATATATACTGTATATATATATATATGTATGTATTTACGATTTACATTATGAAGGTAGATGTAAATCTTTTAGTATAAAGTAAATATATATATATATACATACACTGTAGCCGCTTTTGCATAACCATTGATCACGGCATAAAGTGAACAACAATCACAAAGGAAGAGATTGGATACCCATGGTGCAAAGTATTGCGCAATGCATCGCCCCATCATCAAATCTACTTGCAAGGTCTCAGGCCAAGGCTACTTTGCTTGCAAAAGTATGCCATGCCTGAGCCTACCCCAGGCTTGATGTGTTCCCGCATGTGCCACTTGGTCGGGCATAGGCGGAGCCATGGGAATGTGAAACTTGACCTAGTTTTGGTCACAAGGATGTGGCACATTATGCAGCGATGCTCCAAACCAATTGTATGATAATTATGCCCATCCTGTGCATCTGCTTGCAGGAAGCAAGCATCTAGCTTTGGGCAGGCAACTGAGGCCTGCCAATCCTGGACTGCCAGTGCGGAGCTGCTGTGGAATTTGCGGCTGAGGCTTGCATGTAATTTCCACCTTTTAATCATTTTAAACCTTGCATTATGCAGCAACTGCCTTCTGGCGTTCAGCCTACCCTGTGTCTCAAGTGCCTCGTGGCTCCACCAACATTGTCCATGGGTTCCGCCAAAACCCGTGGAGGAAACGCTGCACGCACGATGATAACCAACTGAAACGCCTACTTGATCTGGTGATAGGGGGGGGGCTGGCCAGTTTCGGAGGCCAAATCACGCATCAATAGGTTCATTTGGAGCATGTAGGTGTGCAAATCTGTTGTTTTGTTCATTCGATGTGTTGCATCTTGTGAGATCCGGTTGTTCTTGTAGGGTCGTGGGATTGGAAGCTTGCGATGGCGTATATACATGTCTGACACTGTGGGTGTGTGCATCACCATCTGATGCTATCATTCCGGAAAGTTTGCCTCTACAGATTGGTAGCATGCATGACTATTTTGTTCTGCCAAATTCTGGCGCAGTAGAAAAAGTATCATCTACAAGAATCAGAAGCCGAAGCCCATTGACACAGCTTTGCTCAGCTGCTAGCTGCTGGCCAGCGCCTTGGTTTCACCGCAGCATCCTGGTAAGATTGAATCAGGGCATCATGAGGCATTTGAGTCTTCCACAACCTCCACGCAAGCTGCTACAGGCAGTTTCTTAAGTGCAAAGAAGGCTCGTGTCTTCTGAGCTTGTCCTCAGGTCGGGCAAGTTGCCAGAGTGGGCCAGACTCCCAGACCTTTGGAGACCCAGAATTTAGAACTGCGCTCAAGAGGCGGCTCTGTAATCTCTGGAATACTGGACTTGGCATTCATGAGGTGCACGACGTCCACCCATTTCTCTGCTAACCTGCACCGTGTCCACAAAAATGAACCTAGTAGCATGGATGCTACTAGGGGCTCCTGGCCGTACTACCAGGAGCAAGGACGCTACTGGGAGCAGAGGGCATCGCTGCTAGGAGAAGCAAGGATACTACTAGGAGAGCATGCAACCGACATGCCTCCAGCCAAATTTGCTCCTTCGAGGTGTCGGGGTGCCCTCTGACAACCCGCTTGACCTCCGCAGTTGCGAATCAAAAAGCAATGTCAAGCGGAGCTTTCACGTCATGAAATGTTCACATGAAAATGTTTACATGCCAAGTGCATGCAGAGCAGCCACTCGCCGAAGCTCAAGGCATTCATCTGGACTCCAAGGTATCTCCTCAAGCAGCCCCAACTCTTAGCCGCTGCCCAGCTGTTGTCCAACCCCCCGTGTTTTCCATTGTCTGTCAGCCATACATGGCCAAGCCGCAAACAATTACAGCATAGCCAAAAGGTGAAAACACATGCGCAAAAATGAAAAAAACACATGAAAACAAAGCAAACAGTGCCAAAATGCAAAACAATGCCAAAAAAATATAAACACCAACAAAAGACAACTTGATACAATCTGTGTGCGTTTCTTGCGTATTCTTTGCTGGGTCTTTTTGCCTTTCCTTGTTCATCCATATGTATTTATATATATATATATAATTGCTTTGCTTGCTCAATTGCATTGCTTTACAGTTTTACCTGTCATTTGTGTGCATTGTTGTTGCTTTGTGTGCTTCTTGTTTCTGTCACAACTCCAATCCATCCTGGCTCTCACTATTCCTCACAAGTTGGTGTCAGTCCCTCGGCTCCTTGTCAGTCTCCACAGTGCCAGGGAAAGCCTGGCAGAAGGTTTCCGCGCTTGACAACTCAAGCTGAGTTTCACAAGACATCCAGGGCGTTTCTACTAGGAGCAAGGACGCTACTAGGTGGAGGCCATCGCTATTTGGTTGGAGACCATCGCTACTAGGAGCAAGGACGCTACTAGTATCTCCTGGCCGTACTACTAGTAGCAAAAACCATTGCCCCAGCCGGCGGAGGTGGACGAGCAGACCGAGCAGAGCTGGGTAAATCATCACCTGCCAAGGACGCATATTAAGGGATCCAAGGGAAGATACACATCTCTGACAAGCATGAAAGAAAGCCCACATGCAAGGTAAAAATGGTCGCAAGTCAAGAGTCAAATCAAAATAAACAATGCTACACAAAAAGGCTCACGTTTTTGACTGCTGTTGGCCCATCTGTGGCATTCAGCAAGGGCCCAAGGGCAACGACACACTACAGCAACGCAAAGACTTCAAACCTGACAATTTCAAACCAGTCCCCTATGCGCTGGCCGGCGTCAACATCCGCCTGATGACCACCAGTCTCAAACAAAGGTGGGGAGTTGAAAGACTTGCATGTGCTTGAAGTGGCTCGCTGTAGATCTTTGTTGATGTGTATGGCGGCATCATCTCCGCCAAAGATCAGACCATGCAACTCACTCCCCTGGAGCAACATCTGGTTCTTGCCTGTCCATGGGTAGACATCGACGGACCCACCCCGCAGTCTTCGGAAAACAAATGCATCCTCTGCAGCACGGGCAAAGCTAAGCAAGTCCAGGTAGCCGCTGGTTCTGGACCATATCGTAGGTGAGAAGCCCCCCATGATGTCCATGTTCTTGCCGTATGCGAAGAAGACCATCGCTGAATCCTTGTGTTTTTTGCATTTCTCGAGACATGTTCGTAATGAGGTCCCGTCCATGACTGGTACATAGATCAAGTGTGGGTCATATCCCCGGCAGTTTGCTGGAACCCAAGGCCAAATCGCCTCCCAGACTGCATTCGGCACATTTCCTCTTGGCTCGTAGAGACGTGGTCGACAAAAGATGTGTTTTTCATAGGTCTTCTTTGGTGCCGCGTACGAAATTTTCCAAGAGCTACTGACCCGAGCCATCGACAGGTTCTTGATGGGAAGCGAATAAGCCACCTTCGACAAGGCCTCCACCTCCTCATGGTTCACTTGACGCTCCTCTGAAGGATTCTCCAAGGCCTTCAAAGCCTCTGCTGCTGTGGTGCAGGCCACGATTGCCGCTTCCTTCCTCTTCAACAGTGCCATGCCAAAGCGGATGATCACTTCAGAGCCTTCACATAGGAATGCACCCACCAAACGGCACAATGTGCGGAAGGGCAGCTTGCTGGCCAATCCATCCTGAAGAAGACGAGTGACTGCCTCTTCAAGATTCACTCCCAAGTTCTCAAGGTATGCAAGAATTTCAGGGATGTTCCCACGCTTCTTCCCCTCGCGAATGAAGACCTTCACCTGCTTCTGCATTTGAGTCAGGCTCAAAATGATTTTCGGGTAGTCACTTGGTCCAGCCGATTCGGCCTCCAAAAGCAGCTCACTGATGATGAACATGGTTTCCGCCTCCGAGAAGAAAGTCAGCAGAACCAGCATCAAGTTGGGCAAGAAGGGGCAAAAGTCAATTTGATGGCTTGTCAATTGAGAGACCCAAAGTAGTCTTCTCAAAATGTGCTGCCCTTGTGGCTTCAAAAGCCACAGATGCTTCACTACTTGATTTAAAGGTGGGGCATCATCGATGCCATGCACTCCTTGGCAGAAAGTGGGTACCGGGTCCTGAAACTCCACCGGGTGAACACCTCCAAAGCTTCGAAAAAGGAGCTTGTTGTAGAACTCATTTACATCCACATCTGAAACCGGGCCCAAAGCTTTCCCAGCCGCCAAAGGCCAAATCAATCTCTTCAAGCCATCTGGAACTCCTTTTCGCACGGATGCGATGAAATCAGCAAGGAGTTCATCAGGAACACCTGTACATTTCTGCAAGAAACCGACTGCGGAGTCGGACCAATGCATGCTCTGAGCCTCCATCAAGTCCACATCCGTCACTTTGTTGAGTTCGTTCAAGTCAACCAAATCACCTACACCTTCCCTATTGCCTCTATAGGGCAAGTTCGAGCCTCCAACTGCTTTGGAGAAGTCACGGCTTCTGTCCACACATGGCAGAAAGGCGACGAGCCGCCGTAACAAACGCCTTTTGCTGGCATTCTGGGCTGCTTCCAGCTGCATCTTTAGGTCCTTTGTTTGGTCAGGCGTGTACATGGAACTTCTGCGTCTAGCCGTCTTGAACTTGTCAAATCGCTTG